AATTTAAGTTACTTGGAAGTGGTTTTCCTGAACTATTATTACTATATATATTTTTGTTTGGTAGATTCTGATCTTTTTTCATGTATTGATAGAATGATTTATTTGGTTCTTTGTGCTTTTGAGGTTTATTCTGATTGTCTTTCTGTTTTTGTCTACATTCGGCGATACTGTGTCCGTATCGTCGGCAGTAATTGCACCATTTTTTGAAAAATGGTTTGCTTTTAAAATTTGGGTTCCTTTCATAGATGTTTAGTATTTCAGTGATTTTTTCAATCAGGTCTGTGTCTGATTTTTGTATATTATTTTTATGTGTAGTATTTGTTTCAATTCGATTAACATATTGTAGTTTTAGATTTTCTGTTTCTTCGAGTTTCATTGTGTTTTCTGCTTGTTCTAATTTATCTACTAATTTTCTAAAATCTAAATCTGGTTCTCGAATTGAGGAAGGATGAGCTGCTCTCTTTTTTATAGCTATAAACAAATCAACCCCCCCGAAAAATTACACAAAATTTAAATCACGTATGTTCCTATTATTGGTATGTTATTTGTGTATGGTATTTGTGTATTTTTTATTTTTCTAGACTGTTAGTCCTTACGATTTTTTGGTTAGCTTAAACTGGGTCTTTGTGTTCAGGGTTGGAGAGAAAAGTATATCGATTCCGGGGAATGATTTTTTACTTTCTCGTGGCTAGTCTAAGTTAAGGTGTTAACTTACTTAATCTTACTTAGGGGTAGTGATTGTGTTCAAGGGTTGGAGAACCACCCCTTAATAAATCGATCCACAAGGTTCAGGTATAATTAGAACGCAAGTAGTTCGTTAGATACTATTTTAAACTTACTAAGTCGAAGATCTATCCTGGGTCTGGTAAGAGGAGGTTTCAAGTGAAGGATGAATAACCGAAGTTCTTCACTGTTTAGCCTAATTTGAATGGTTAGTGTTATTAAAAATTTCCATTAGTCCTGGGTCTTTTGAAAAGGTTGGGTAATGAATCGACGTTTGAGGTCGTTAGACACTTGATAAGTGGGTGGGGGAGAACAAAAGTGTTCTTTTTGATCCAAGGATAAGCCTTGATGATCAGAATTAAAAATTAATGAGATAGAAAATTTATTAAGGTCCAAGGATAAGCCTTGATGATCTGGTTTAAAATTAAATAAATTTAAGTTTAAAATGGTTTAAATTTATTTGATATAAAGTTTTAGTTTTTTATGCTGTTAGTTAGCTTATGATTGCTGTTATGTTTAGGTGATGAAGCTGAAACGACAGGATGATTTATATATACTAACAATTTATTATCATGCTACTAATTTTTATTTTTATTTTCAATAAATATTTTTCAAATAAATAGGTTTTATATAATACTACAGAAGTTGAGAAAACGACTTGAGATCTTTTTATCAATCGTTATTGTACATTAATAATTTATTTAGCGCCTTAAATAATCATGAAGACTTACTTAAAAATTTTATGTTGGCAAATGAAAATCTAAATTCATTGCTAATAAGATTCTAAATATAAAAGTTTGTATTGGCTTTTGCCGTACAACCATGAAACTAAATGGTAAGTTTCTCTGTAGTCGTATGTCGTCTCTCGTCCGAGGTCTTTTTCCAATACCGGGTAGTTTTAGTATTGTGCGGAATATCGGCTCTGATCTATTGAGTCGTAGAGACATTTCAATTAAGTTATTATCGTGTAACATTTTGAAAATGTTTTGTCTAATTTCTAATCTTTTTTTGGTTAATTCTAAGCTATTAAGTTCTTATTCGAGACTTATGGTCGCACCAGATGAGTTAGGTCCTTTTGGTTAACTCATAGAGTAATTTCGGATAGTGTACACCGTCTGCTCGTCACGCTATTTTATTTTCGGCCGGATAGATTCGTGCAATTTCTTAGTCTAATACCGATCCTAATCTTACTCTTATATCTACTAGTCTCAGGGTGTTTAACTAGTCTCTGCTAGGCTCAATAGATCTAGAGTATACTGGTTTATTGCGGCGGCTGAAGTTCTCTTGGAGAGGCAACTAATTTCTAAGTTAAATCAAAATCTCTCTGGTGCTGAAATTACAAGTAATTTCAGCACTTACAAATAAGTGGGTTGTTAGTTGGATGGATTATGATTGGTTAATATTAAATATTTTACAGTGGTAAAATATCTAATTTATCCAATAATAAAATGTAGTTTAGATCAGGTTCCACTACATTGAATAGAGGCAAGCTATTTTATCTTATTAGTATGTCACTAGATACTATTTACATGAGTTGAAGCGGCACTTGGAACATAGAGCTTTAATTACTTGTAGAAACTTCAGGGCTTTGCCTTGATTCAAAAAGTTTTCTTTGTTCATCGTGTAGTTTTTTATTACTCTATGACAGGGGCGGATCTAGGATTTTCTCGAGGGGGGGGCGGATTTTCAAAAAATTTTCCAAAATTTTGACGACCTTTTTTTTTTTTTTTAGGTCGACCAAATTGATTTTTCGAGCTCTCCCAAAGCACTGTTTTGCCCCTACTTTGGCTAAATTTTCTGCGCCGCAGGATAGTTTTTGAAAAAACAGTCAAAAAAGCCGTTTTTGGGCAATTTTTGAAAAATGTTGACAAAAAAATTGCGTTTTTTTGGCGCGCGCTCCCCCTCAAAGTTAGTATATATTGGCGCCAAAGGCGCCTTTAGAAAAATTTTAGGGTCGGTCGGCCAAAAATGGATTTCTGAAAAAGTATCAAAGGGGGGACCCTTTGGGTCGGCAGGGGGTCGAATCCCTGAGGGGGGGGGGCGTCCGCCCCCCACCCTAAATCCGCCCCTGCTCTATGATAACATTAAGTTAGTTTTCAAATGGAAGTTTGAATCTGGGGAGAAACCGCTTTTATTTGGCAAACAATTACAATGGGCACGTAAAGTTTCAATAGTTTTTCTACAAAACAAGAAAACAATCAAACTTGAAGAATCTTTGTTAACCAGAATCATGTTTTAGCACACCAAAATTTGGCTCTTTTCCACTTTTTCACTCACTTTCCAAATTCGATTTTGAAAATTTCTGTAATATTTTCATAATTCAATGAAACTTGGCATTGCGAACAAACAGAATACTGTCAACAGATTTTTTTTTCAAACGTTACATCGAAACATCACGCATATAGCCAACATAACGCGTATAAACAAATAAAAATCAATTTTTTGAAATTCGGTGGAGGGGGACAGAAAAGAGCCTAAATTTCCAGCCCAAAAATGACAACTGAATCTTTCGGCAGAGCCTTTTACCTTTAATATTTTAAAAACTATGAAAAAGTAAAACTTGAGATGTTGAAATAAGGGACTGTTGAAATGTTGAAAAGAGCCGCCTTTAGCCATAATAACACGTAAAACAAAAAAATTAAAATGAAATTTTGGGGCGTTATCTTCCCTCCCCCTCATCAGCGTGTTTTTACAAGTAAATGAAATATTTGCGTTATTATATCGCTATAAATGCTTTTTAAAAAAATTGTTATACCTAAACTGGTAAAACCACTCGTTACGCCATAAAATTGATGACCAGGAAAAAGAAAAAGAGCCGATGGGGAAGACGTTGAAAAGAATCACATTCTTGTTGATTATTGGAACTTTATTGGGGCAAAATTAAGCTGTTCAAAAATTGTTTACACGGCTTTTTGCGTGTACTAAAAGTTGTAAAAACTGGTTCACCTGTTCACGCTGTCACGTTTTGATGCAGTTTACAACAGAAAGTAATTTTAAATAGATTTTCACATATTGATGTTTTATTGCAGTTTTGGCTCTTTTTTCAGTTTCCACCGTGTCTTGTTAACTACAAAACAAGATTTTCGAAAAGTTTTCACACGGTAATTTGTATGCAAGAAATGTTGTAAAAATATACTCTAAATGCAGTTTATAACATGAAAAGCCGTTTTAAATAGACTTTCCTATAATGATTTTTAGAAAAAATCAAAGAGGTAGAAACTTGATAAGAACCAATCACTGTAAAACATGTTCTACTTTACTGAGTATTTTATCATTTCGCCTTTTCGTTATCCCAATACTTATTGCGACAAGCTGCAACAAAAGACAGCTCGCAATGAAAGACAGCTTGCATTAACAGACAACTTACAAAGAAAAGGCCGCGTGTACGTTTTTCAAGCTTGCCAACAGAGGGTAGGACTTAATACAAAATTTGAAGCTGGCTATTGCCGCGAGCGAGGACTCACGTCTAGCGCTGTTGCCGTTAACCTTATCCCAAAACTCTTATGTTGTAAGCTAATTTTCAAATTTAGCTTTCCTACCTGAAAATTTGCTCGTTTTTCTTTGTTGCGAGTTGTTTTTTGTTGCATGTTGTTGCGGTACTGTCTCAATATCTTTGTTATGCTATGTTTTTTGGCTCTTTTCTTTCCTCCGTCCTCCCTCTTGCGAGTTTTTTTAAAAGTTTTTTTCTGTTTTGATTGTCTGATTGATAAAAAAAACTGGCATGCTAACCAATTAGGGCATGACAAACATATTTGTTTTCCATATCGGACCTTGTTGAACTTCTCGTATAACAGACAGCTTATATGAGGTAGGGAAGGGGTAGAAAAAATGACCGTTTCTGCAGTTTTATCTGTGATAAAGGCTCTCTTCCACCCCCCCCCCCCCCGAATCCCGAATTTAAGTTTCAGTTTGAAAAAAAAAATACGTTGTCATAATATAGGCCCTGACAACAGATCTGTTCTTCATACCTTTCATCGTGAAATCACGCATTCCGCCATAATAAAACGTAGGACAATTGAAACAAAAAATAGAAACTTTTGCTCTTTTCTAGTTTTCAGGTTGAGTATGCATACCAAATATGTTTGTCGAGGCCTTATTAATCTGTATGTAAATTTTCATAACAATCGGACAATGTGGTCAACAAATTTACATGTAAAACTTTGCAGGTGGGGGGGGGGGGGGAAGAGCCGAAAAGTCATTTTAAATAGACTCTCATACAATGAATTTCAGAAAAAATCAAAGGTGGAACTGGAAAAGAGCCTAGTTTTGTTACTCACTTTTTTGCCGGCAGCGAATAATTTGTCGAAGGTCTCACTAGTCATAATAGGTGTCTTATGTATGAAAGGCTTCACTCGATCATGTGCCTCTTCGATCTCCTGAACGTCTACAGTCATGTTTGAAAGTCAGAGTGTGTCTCTTAGTTCTTTGGAAACTCTTTTCCTTCGTTGCTTTTCTTCTAGCCGAATAAAAAAATTGGTAGAGAAAATTGGAGCCTTTTCTTTATATACAGCTCCCCTCAGTCTAGTAAAACAAGAAATATAGCCCACTTGTGGTACTATTTTACGACAGCTACTTCTGGTGGACCAATGCTAAGATTTCCTAAAGAAGCCGTTGGATAACATGTACTTCCTCTTTTCCACCCCCCTTCTTTTCAGTTGTCTTATGGGCTCTTTTCCCTTTTCCCCCAACTCACATAGGAATCAACTTTACTGTGTAACCAGGGGTCTTACAAGGTTAAGTTTGAAAACCAAACATGTTCGACACAGCCTAATTAGTCCACACACCAGTTTTTGCGACAATCTGACCATGTGAAGTAGCTCGTAAAAATTCGCAAATGGGGGTGAAAAAGAAAAAGAGCTGCCTTACGTTTTATTATAGCTGAATGCGTAATTTTACGATTAACAGTATGAAGAATAAATGTGTTCAAAATAATTAGTTCGTTAGCCATGCAAATTTTCATCACATTATGACAACGTTAGTTTTTTCAAACCTGAAATTCATATATGGGAGAGTGGAAAAGAATCCCATTTACCAATTTTTAAGGGAAAGCCGCGCCGAAAAAACGCAATTTTTTTTTTTGCGAAACGGCTAAAAAATTTGAAATAAAAATGTTGCTTTTCCCTCCTCCCCACACACATAAGCATCAATTTTGTAGTAAAACGAGGGGTTTTTCAAGATTAAACATGGGAAATAAATATTTTTTTCAGGGCCTAACAAGTCCGCGTACCAATTTTCATGACAATCGACCGATTTGAACATAAGTTATACTTATAAAAATGTGCAGGTAAGATAAGGAAAAGAAGCCATAAAAATTGAGAAATTAAGTAAGAAAATAATGTCCGCGTCCGCCGCTTTAACAACGTTTACGCGTGTTGTTGGAGTGTGTAAAAAGGAAAAAATAGGAAAATGTTTTTGTTCAGAATAGTATATAAATGTGATGTGACTATTTAACCTGTTCAACACACCATTTTTAATATAATGAATTCGTATTTGTCTTTTCTTCCAGTTTGGAAAAATTTTCTGAAATTTCATTTGCCGACAAAAGCTAATTTGAAAGGGATTGTGACGGTCCTAATCAAAAAAATGCGTCAGCGTAAATAAGTGAACAAATTTTTACACTCATATCATGTAAATTGCCGTATGAGCAACCGTTTTTTTCCTTTTCCCCTACCTCACATAAGCATCAATTTTCTGTAACGAGGGGTTTTACAAGGTTAAGTTTGAATATTGAATATGCTTTTATGGCCTAATTAGTCCATATGCCAATTTGTAACAATCTGGACCATATGAACAGAAAAATTACTTCTCCAAATTGGCAGTTGGGGGGACTTAGAGCTGAGCAACCTTTGAACAACCTTAGTTTGCAACTTTACGAGGAAGGGGACCGGGAAAGAGCCCTTATTGCTGATCTTAAGTTTTCAACTTGGGTTGGGGAAAGGGAGGTTTCCTGTAAATGTGCTTTGAAATGAGATTAGTAAAATGCAAATAAACTTTGTACGATGAAAAAGCTGAGAAAAATGCAGAAGTTTCCAGATTATTTTTGAAATAAAAAAGGGCTCTTTTCCAGTTCACAGTTGTAGATTTGCTCACCACCCAAGTTTCATTAGATTATGACAACGTTGAATAAGTTTTTCATAATTGAATTTGAAAAAGGGAACTGGAAAAGAGCAAAAAAAAGATAACAAATTTAGGTTCTTTTCCAGTCCCCCCCCCTTTTGATTTTTTCTGATTCTATAAAAAGTCGAATTCAAATGACTTCTCAGGACAAAAACTGGAAACTGAGCCGAAATTTAGGCTCTTTTCCAGTTCCCCCCTTTGATTTTTTCTAAAAGTCCAATTCCATAAAAAGGCGAATTCAAATGACTTATCAGGACAAAAACTGGAAAAAAAGCGAAATTTAAACAAAGCATTTTGTTAGGAAAAGAGTTGGTTATATGAACTTTTTTTTTGCTTTTCTTGGTTTTTCTGTTTTTTTATAGTATTAATTTTTTTATTATGTTCTTATAAACATGGTCGCGGTAACGCGCAGATGCACGTGCTTTTTGCAATGCATCCTCAGGCAAAAAAAGTTCATCATTGATACCACTAAAGGTTTGTTCGCTCTTCTCCAGTTTCCCCCTTTCAAAAAACCGAGTTTTATGTTTGTTTTACGTGTTATTACGGCTAAATTCGTGATGTTACGCTATAAAGTATGAAGAACAAATTTGTTGACAGTTGTCAATTCATTCGCCACGCCAAATTTTGTTACAGTATGACAATGTTAAATAAGCTTTTCAAAATTGAAATTGAAAGGGGGGAACTGGAAAAGAGCCGGTTTGTTTAATGATGAGATGTCCCAGCATCACAAAACGGCTAAATGTGTTACGGCTAAATGCTTGATGTTACGCTGTAAAGTATGAATAACAAATCTGTTCACAGTTGTCGATTTGTTCACAACGCCAAATTTGCATTATGACAAGGGTAAATTAGCTTTCCAAAATTGAATCTGAAAGGGGGAGGGAAACTGGAAAAGATCCCACAAAAAACTTACTCACTTCCAAAATGTTGGCAACTGTGGTGCCTAAAAATTCAAAAATAGTGTGTTAGTGTGTGGCGCTTTTTTCCACTTTTCCACGATTGATTAAATTTCAGTTTAAGAAAAAATATTAACCGTTGTCAAAATGCAATGAATTTCGGCGAACAAACTAACAATTGTGAACAGATTCGATCTTCACATCTTACATCGTAATATGCTTTTAGCCATAATTACTTGATGAAAAACAACAAAAAAAACACAAAATTTCAAATGTAAGTTGGGGAATTGAAAAAAGTCAAAAATGCTGCTTTTATGCTATTTTTTGATACTGAGTTTACTCGCATATATTAATTGCTGTTATTAATCTAATTCAAATTGGAAATCTAAATAAAATATCGTAAAATCACGTCTCGACCAATTTCATCCAAGTTGGTCTCGACAGGTTTTTACCGCATTTTATCTCAAGTCCAACTTCACCATATGTGCAATAAAATCAAAAAATGCCTTTTCATTCGTAAAAATTGTGTATGCCTACGTTTTTCAAAAAACGATCTCATATGTTTTGTTGGTGTCCCACTCTTTAACCCTACGATATTTAACCCCCTCTGTTTACACCCCCTATATCATAACCCCGTAACATGATAACCCCACAACAATTTAACCCCCTTTTAATGACGATAATTTGTTTCAAATTAAGTCCTTTTTATAAGTACAGGAGTAGTCCAATTAAGCTTACTAATTAAGGCCTGAAAAGCTAGTCTTAATTCACTTGATGCCTCTAGCATCTCAAAACAAATTGCATTTTGATTAGTTAGAGAAATAATCCCTCACTCACGCGTTTAAAACAGAGATAACCTACATGGTGCTAATTGAAGGCAACAAAAGACGTTTGTGAGTTTTATAAAAAATCATACTGCCTATTTCTTTAACCATTGTTATACCACTCTATCAGATCAGATATAATGTTTGAAGCGTCATTCCATTTTACTTTATCTTCGAAAGATAAACAAATGCTAGTGGTATCAGGCCACGAGTATTACCTTAAACCAAAAAACAAGACAACAACAAATTGGAACTGCTCAAAGTACCAAACCCATAAATGCCGCGCAACAGCAATTACGGAAGGAGAAAATTTTATTGAAACGAGGGGTCAACATAATCACGATATTTCCACGGGCAAACCTGATGCTCGACTAGTTTTGAAAAACATCAAGGAGCTAAGCGATAGTAACACCCCAACCGTCGCAGTCGCAACCGCCATTCAGCCAATTACAGACAACATTGCCACTCAACTAGCCCTACCATCCAAAGAAAATTTAGTTCGCACCGCACAACGAGCGCGCAAGCAACGAGAAGAAGTCTTACCAGTCTCGCCAGCAAACAGAAGTTTCGAAATACCCGAACTTTTCAAAAATTTTATCAGATTCGACAGTGATGCTACGTGTGCTTGAAACATCCAACTTTTAAAGTCACCCCGAAAATGTTTTATCAACTTTACTCCATACACGTTAGTCTTTCAGGAATAGCCCCTGCTTGCATATATGCGTTCCTGCCAAATAAAACAGAAAAAACTTACCACCGTTTCTTAGAAGCCCTAAAAATACTAGTCCCTGATAGTAGACCTGAAAAAATTTTACTGGATTTTGAGCAGGCCGCTATTCAAGCGTTTCAGAAAAATTTTCCCGAGACCAAGCTGTCGGGATGTTTCTTGCATCTTTCACAAAGTTTCATGAGAAAAATCGGGGAGCTCGGATTGAAAAAGGATTACGAAACTAACCACGAGTTCGCTTTAGCACTCAAAATGTTACCCGCACTGGCTTTTGAAAAAGAAGAAGAAATAGGAAATTCATACGATAAAATAGTGGAGGAAATTCAAATAGTTTGCGATCGCACCATAAAAGAGTCGGAAAAAATAGCGAAAGTTGACGAGCTTTGCCTTTATTTTGGATCTAACTACATAAAAAGTCTCGTCCCGAATCGGGAAGCCCTATTCCCCCCTTCATTATGGAATCAAAGGGATGCGGCATCATCGGGTTTGGCCAGAACAACAAATGCTGTAGAGGGCTGGCATTATGGCATACAGTCATACTTCAGTGGATCGCATCCCAGTATATGGAAAGTGATTGCAAATTTGCAAAAAGACGCGTCCGTCCAAAAACTTAATTTCTATAACGCCTCGAGTGGGCACCAATTTACAAAAAAGAAAAAATACCGGGTGCTCAACGAAAAAGTGCAGAATATTATGCATGTTTACGAAGAAAACACTGATTTGCATTTCTTTCGCGCTATGGCGAACTTGAGTTAAATATTTGCTATTTAATCTATATTGCCAAGCAATAAAATTTTTTCCAAGTTTAATTAATTTCCTTGATTTTTCAAAACTGAGCTAAAGTCGATTTGAAACCGGCAAAATAATAAATACATACAAGGTGTTGACTTTTCTTTTCCCTCCGCCCAACCCTGTAAGGTTAACCCATTTATTGTACCCTTGATATACCCGTTATCATATTTACCCGAAATTCAACTTTTTTGGGAAAATTGGAAAATTTTTTGTGCCGCCAGGGATTCGATCCTTTGAACTCTAGATTTTGAGACTAACGCTTTAACCATTATACCATGAGGCCTTTGGTTGTCATCCGAAAATTTCTTCCAATTTTGGCTCTTTGATCTTAATTAAGCTCATATTTGAGTTTTCAAAGCGTAGATCAATTCTGTCGGCGCCAAAAGATCAAGGTCAAGAAATTCAAATGGTTTTGGACTGTTTTGTATATGCACCAATTTGAATCATGTCGGTCGGATTCGTTTTCAAGTTCATATCAA